CATCAACGCCGACGCCTCGACAGCGGGCAAACTCTCTCCCACGCTCGAGCAAGCCAAGTCCGACATCACCAAGGTCGTCAATGACATCACCACGCTCAAGTCTCAAGAGCAATCTGCTGCGGACTCCCGCATTCGCGCCCTGCACGCCGAATTCGACAAAATGGCGCACGAGCTCCTCCGGCGCCAGGAAGCCACCGCCCAAGAGCAGGAAGTGCACTGGAAGGAGGAATACGAGGCCGAGCAGCGTCGCCTCAGCGAAGCCTACGCCAAGAAGCTCGAGGCCGAACTCGAGTCCGCGAACCGCGTCGCAGACGCAAAGCTCCAGAACCGTCTCAAGGAACAGGCCGTCCAACTGCGTCGCCAGTTCACGGCGGCTGTGGCGGAGCGCGTTGAGGCTGAGCGTGAGGGTCGCCTCGGCAAGCTCTCCGATCTGAGCGAGCGTGTTGCCGAGCTTGACCGCCTGACCGCAGAGTGGGACGCCGTTGTGTCCGCCAACCTGCGCGCGCAGCACCTGATCGTCGCGGTGGAAGCAGTGCGCTCCGCACTCGAAGAATCCGAGACAGCGGGCGTGGCGCGGCCGTTCGTGCGCGAACTGGCCGCGGTCAAGGAAGCAGGCGCCGCGAACCCAGTCATCGACGCGGCGATTGCGTCGGTCCACCCGAGCGCATATCAGAAGGGCATCCCGAGTGGCGCGGAGCTTGTGGAGCGGTTCAGGCGCGTGGCGGGCGAAGTGCGCAAGGCGGCGCTGCTGCCGGATAATGCGGGTGTTGCGAGCCATGCCGCGAGTCTGGTGCTGAGCAAGGTTATGTTCCGGAAGGGGGGGACGGAGGGCGTGGGGCAGGGGGGTGATGTTGAGAGTGTGCTTGCGCGGGCGGAGAGGGCGCTTGAGGAGGGGAGGCTGGAGGTTGCGGTGGATGAGGTTAATGCGTTGGAGGGGTGGGCGAAGGTGCTTTCGAGGGATTGGTTGGCGGATTGTAGGCGGGTGTTGGAGGTTAAGCAGGCAGTTGATGTGAGTCTTAGCTCTTTCTTTACGCGATATGGTGAGACTAACGGCTTAGGTCATTGCGACGGAGGCGCGGTTGCAGAGCCTGCTCGTGGAGTAGGTTGGTGCCGGGATGGGATAGACGGGTTTGTGATAGAGGGAGGGAAAACTGCGGTGCGCTGTGAATTAGTGCGGAATTCTACTGTACATTTATGTCGTCTGATCGCATTTTGCTGCGTGGGTTTCTGCGCAGAAGTCGGTGTGCCAATGGAGTGCGTTAATGGGAGTGTGATGCGAGGGCTGTAGCACATCGTGACTGCTGTTTGCTCGATTTCTCCCTTTACCCTCCATATCATCCATAGAACATATTGAGCTACCCCCCCTCGATTGATAAAAGACTTTGCCTTTCCGAAGTGCTTCCATCACAGTAGGCCAAATGGCGAAAAGATGACGCACAATTTTTCAAGGCTTTGGTACATACTTCGTGCCGTATCTTACTCTATCCCTCTTCTCACCTTACGCATCGAACTTGGAACCTGTTGACTGCGCGACTCTCGAGGACCAAAAAGAAATCTACGTCCTCCAGATCCTCATCACGAACACATAAAAAAGGCAAAAAGACAACTTCAACATCTGCCCCCACGCCGATTTGAACGACGGACCTTCGCATGTACTCGAAGTACGAGTGCGACGCTCTACCCCTGAGCCATGAGGGCTTTTCGATGCGTAACGTTGGCTTTTCCAAAATTATGTTCTGTTTAATTTTGCCAAGGCCGGGAAACCCTGCACTGGACGACGTGACTTCGCGTTGTTTTCGTACCACCACTTCCATCCGCCACTTCATCCGCTACGCCATCCACAACCAATACACCAATGGATGGAATACTGGAGGGCTTGAATGCTCAACAAAAATGCGCCGTCACAAGCCCCGCTCCCGTACTTCAAGTCCTGGCCCCGCCGGGCTCGGGGAAAACGAAGACGCTGACGACACGCGTCGCGTACCTCATCACGCAAGGCCTGAAGCCATGGAACATGATCGTGTGCACATTCACAATCAAAGCGGCGCGCGAGATGAAAGAGCGGATACGGGCGTTCGTGGGTGCGGATCTCGAGAGCAGACTCGTTCTCGGGACGTTCCATTCCGTGGCCAGGCGCTTTCTCGTCGCGTATGGGGCGCGGATCGGTATAAAGAAGAGCTTTGGGATTGCGGATAGCGGTGACAGTTTGGCGATTATTAAGAGGATTGTCAAGAGGCGTGGGTTTATGATGGAGCCGGCGAAGGCGAGGGCTAGAATTTCGAAACTCAAGTCTGGGACTGCGGCGCCGACTGAGGCGAAAGCGAAGGGCCCGAGTGTGGATCAGCAGGAGTTTGTGGCGATTTTCACGGAGTACGAGGAGGCGCTGGAGACTTCTAATCTGCTGGACTACGACGATCTGCTCCTGCGGTGTGTGGAGCTCTTGAAACGCTTCCCCGAGTGCGTCTCGAATATCCAGGCCGTCCTGATCGACGAATTCCAGGATACGAACCACGTTCAGTACGAGCTCATGTCGCTCTTCGCCCAGCACCGGGACCCGAAGACACCAGATCATAAGATCCCCAGCATCACCATCGTTGGCGACCCCGATCAGAGCATCTATAGCTTCCGGTCCGCTGAAATCAAGAACCTCCGGAAGATGACGACTCAGTATCCGGGCACGCACGTCGTGATATTGGAAGAGAACTACCGCTCCTCCGGCTCGATCCTTCAGTCTGCCCTGGAAGTCATCGAGCAGGACGAGTCCAGGCCGGAGAAGAAGCTGCTGCCCACGCATTGCATCGGCGAGCGCCCCGTCTTGCGAACGCTGTCGACACCGCACAAGGAAGCCGACTGGCTTGTGGGGGAAATCCGCAGGTGTGAAGCCCTGAACGCTGGGCTGCTGAAGTACTCCGACTTTGCTGTTCTCCTACGGTCTGCCAGCCTCTCTCGCCACATCGAAAGCGCCCTCGGAAAGGCCGGCATACCTTACCGGATGGTCGGTGGCCATAAGTTCTTTGACCGAGTGGAGGTCAAGCTTGTGCTTGACTATCTCCGCGTCATTGGGCATCCCGAGCACAACGATGCGCTGGCGAGAATCATCAACGTTCCGCCACGGAAGATCGGAGAAACGGCAATGAAAACACTGTTCGATGAAGCAGATCGCAAGAAGATTCCTCTCTGGACTCACCTCCTCGACGTATGTCAAGGTCGATCCAGCAGCAAGATCAGCGCCCAAGCCGAACGGAGCCTCTCCACTCTCATTAAAATCATCCTGACGTCGCGGACAAAGCTCGCCGAAGCTGACGAGACGGGTTTCACAATCCCCGACCTGATGGAGTACTTCATGGAAAGGCTCAGCCTAAAGAAATACTTAGAGGACAAATACCAAAAGGAAGGCCGCTGGGCCAACGTCGAAGAGCTCTTAACCCTCGCCCGCGACGCCTCTGCCTCCCTCGAAGCAGAAGCTGAAGCCGACGCCCTTGCGCCCATCGACGGCGTCAACCAGGACCAGCCCTCGGGCCTCCAGGATCTGCTAACGCGGTTCCTCGCCAACGTAGCCCTCTCCACCGAAGCTCAGGACACGAAAGGCGGCACCGAGACCCCAAATCAAGTCACCCTCTCCACCATCCACGCCGCCAAAGGCCTCGAATGGCCCGTCGTCTTCATCCCCGGCGCATTCCAGGGCTCGATTCCGCATTCCCGCGCCGAGGACACGGACGAAGAGCGGCGGCTGCTATACGTGGGCATGACCCGCGCGAAGGCCCTGCTGTACCTCTCGCGGCCCAAGAAAAACTCAAACAGGGAGGACACCACCCTCTCCCCCTTTCTTTCCGCACCCAACATGTCCCGCTTCTTCGCCCCCCGCGGCCCGTCCTTCACACTTAGCACCCTCCGCGACCTATCCCGCATCCTACACCGCCCCTGCCCAGCACCCTCCGCCTTCCACGCCGTCATCGAAGCCGCCATCAGAGATGCGGACTTCCACGTCGAGGATGATCGGTTCCCAGAAGACCCCGACGAGCGCCCGCAGGAGGACACGTCATACGTAGACTACGACAAAGAGACCCCCTACCCCCCAGGCAAAAGGGCTCGCCTGTCCCACGCCCCACCTACCACATCGGCGACAGGCTTCCGCTCCGCGTCCTCCACCATCTTCTCCGCCGGCACTTACTCTAACACAGCACTGGGCTTCACATCCGCGCGCACCGCCATGGCTGAGCTCGAAGCCGCGGCTCAAACCGCCGAACCCCCACCAGAGCCGCGCGACAAGGCGCGGACCACGGGGAAGAAGCGGCAAATCTCAGGCCAGGGCACGCTGGGCGAATTCTTCAAGCCCAAATCCACCGCAGCGAAGCCCGCCGCTACTAACCCCGTTTCCAACCCCGCAACCCTCCCCCCAAAAGCAGCCAGAATGCCCAACCTCCCCGCCCGTATCCCCAACGCCGCCCTGGCAAGCATCCTGCAACCCACCGGCATCCCGCCTTCCCTCGCACAGCGCCAGCCGCGCAAAACGCCCATGCGCACACCCTCGTGGGCCGCAAAGCCCCTCCCTCCAGCAGACGAAAACGCCGCGCCCCCTCCCGAGCCGGACGGAGAAGCAGAACCACTCGTAGCAACATCTTTCCATACCACGACTTTCCAAGCCGCGACACTGCACACGACGACGATGGTGCAGCTCACGGGCACGGGAGTGGGGGTTGGGCGGCGGGCGCTGGGTCTGCGGTCGAGCGGTGCTGGTGCTGGGGGTGGGGCGTTGAATCGCCCGTTTAAACCGCCGGGACGGGCGGGGTAGGATGTGTTGATGGATTGGATTAAGGTGGGAACTTGTAGATAGTTGGCGTTGGGCGAGGGTGAATGTAGTTGCCTCCCCGGCGGCGGCTCGGGCAGGGGCGTAATGTACACGACGAGCAACCCGAAGCCGAGTCTTGTGCACTTATGCCGACGGCAAAAGAAGTTTGATGCTTGGGAGTGGGGGGCAGGGCGCGAAAAAAAATATCCGTTACAAGAGGGGGGGATCGAACCCCCGACCTTCGCCGTGTAAAGGCGACATCATAACCACTAGACTACTCCTGCGGCTAGGATGTCGAAATTGGCAGACGTCGGAACTACATAGTGCATTGCGCACACGTGAGGCATGAGAGGAAGACCTCATGCCGAATAATGGGCCGGGCCCGGTCAATACCGCGTGTACTTCTACAGTAAGCGTCGTGAAGCACCCCGCACCGAAGTTCTTCGTGGTAAAAAGGGTCCTTGAAGCCCCCGAGCCGGCTCTTTTCCCCCGGCGCTTGCTGCGTGCCCCGGCTGGAGCTTGATCTTAGCGGGCACTGAATACCAGATTGTGAGTCGCGCGCGGCTAGATTGAATGAATTGGGATAAGGTGCAATGGCTGTGGCCTAAGGATCACGGGCAGGCCACGCGGCCGTCGTGGATGGGAAAGAGCGGACACGCACCACGAGCTCAGCTGCCGGGCCAGAAGGGCAGTGCCAATGGAGCCGCATAAGCTCGAGAGATCGATGGGACCATGAATTCACTGCTGCTGAGTCCCGAAAAGCTCTATTCAATTACGAGTGGTGTCAACGGAGCTGCATGAGCTCGAAAAATCCAGGACGTCATGGATTCGCCCACTCCTGACTCTCGAAAAGCTCGATTCAATAACGAAGGAGATGAAGTTGGCTGCATATGTGCAACCACGCCGTATCATGAATCCACAGAAGCCTTCCCCCCGCCCCAGGACAGCGGAATTCTCCATCCACCGGACCATCCCCCGGTTTCAGGCACCCGAAAAAAGCTTGACGACGCGCCATCAGCTGAGGTGGAACAGGAGAAGCCGGCAAACAAAGTTAGCAATACGATACCGGTGGGAGAGCCGCGCGGGCACGCCACACGCCACGACCTGCAGCCGAATGGCGTAGAGCCGCCCACGGCGGTGGGGTGGCCTTGGCTGAAAAGCTTAGAGTTGTTGCTTCTGTGAGTGTAGACGCCTCCGTTAGAAACCATTTCTACCATACCGTAGTATTAGTGCAGCAAGCTTTCGGGTGTGCCATCGGCTGCGTGGACATCCGATGATGGGGGATTTGCGGAAGCTATGCGGTCGTGGTAATGGTGGAGGTCTTGTTCTAGGCCTGAGAGGGCGACCGCGTGAGATGATCGGCGGAGCTTGACGCGAGCAATAAGCCGCAGAGAACGATAGGTTGGCATCGCGATCTTAATGGCCGTAATTGCGATCAACGGTTGGCAAAGCCACAGCTGAAAGCCTTATGAGGGCAATGGTATGGTACGAGAGAGGATGAAAGCGAGATGCCAATAGAAACGCCTTTTCCTGGTGTCACACGAACTGTCGACTCACGTCTAACATACTTCATTTTACCGCTCGAATGTGCATGTTCGAGGGGATGAAAGAGAGGACCTATTCAACGGAACTGACAATGCAGTGGCGGATGATTCAGACTTCTGAAACACCATGCAGTTGGATGCCCGACGGGGTGAAAGAGGAGAAGGTGAGCAATGTAAGACATAACTCAGGAGAGTCCCCCAGCGTCAAGAGGCTGGCCGGGACGGGGAGTTGAGCCGATGTTGTTCCCGAAAACAACCATCACGCGAGCAATTGAGGTGAAATTGATATTTTGCTCACTTCTTTTCTCAGCACAGCGACGGTAATTGGGTAACTGTTCCTAACAGGTGGTTAAGGAGATGGGGGAGGCGGCGGACGTTGAGCCGGTGGGAGACGCCCATACGACGCCTTTCCCTGCCCGGATCGGATTAACCTCCTTTTTGCGAGGGGCACTGACCAGTCCCATCGGTCTCAGCTCTCACCTTCTCACAACTTTACATCCCCAACATTGTCTGAGGCTTGCAGCCTCCACGCCACAACTACGCAAGCATTTTACCGCCGCTTACCGCAGTGGAGAGCAAGCAGCACCGAGCAAGCGCCGAGTGTCAGCAAGCTTTACTAACGAAGTGGCAGTCTGACATGATTTATGCCGCAGAAGCGCTCTTCCGGTATGCCGTCTTTGGATTGGACAAGGACATGTCAATACCGTACGACTCGCACCTTCCCTCGGCCAAGCATCACCGGAATTATACAACGGAAAGGCTTGTCATCTGAGTAGGAAATGGCCATCACGGATAGGGCTTCCAGTATCTCGCGTAACAAGCTCCGGCCACGCGATTGTACAAGACCATTGGGTCTGAATATCGTTACTAAGTGCGCAGACTACGGATTAAGAGGAACTATTTCCATTGGCGGCATGCTAAATGCCATTACTGGCCTACTAAATCACTAGCGTAGATGACGGCTACCCACACGCGTCATGGACCCCAAGTGGAGACGGGGTCAAGCATTGAGGGTTGCGGGATTATCCGTTAAGTCTCCTTTGCAAGTTCCGGTCCTCAGGGCCAAAGAGGTCCTGGAGAGAGAGAAGAAGAATGAGATGACGGGGAAAGCCATGGAAGAATGAAGCCTCTTCTCAGTTAGATCAAGCCCACTTGCCGGTGGCTGTCTGTCGGCGTCAACAGGGGCAGCGGGAGGTCCCATGGGGGCCTGGACGGGAAGGCTTTTTGAGGAGTCGAGGCGCCGAACGGTCAAGCTTTTCGAAGTGCGGTTGGACACGGCCTGTGCCTGACGCTTGACTCAATACAGCCTTCGCGAGGCTGTCGGTCCATTCAGCGATGGTCCCGACATGCCCGCAGCATTTCCCAGTCCGGTCTTCTACTCCACTCTCCTCGCCTTTCCCTTCAAGAGGCGGAGTGGGACCTGCACATGCTCAGCCCCCACAGATATTGGGGTCATGGCGGATGGACTACAGAGACGAGACACATCGTAACCCGCGACTATGGCTGGCTCCACACTGGCTCGCGGTCCGCCGTACGGAGGGACCGTCCTCCGCAAAAGGCAATGGAGTAGCTCCTGAGGCTGCTGTCGATCTTCGATATAAGCTGGATCCCTCCGCCCATCTTTCCTATCTCCAAACCAGTACAGTCATTCGTTCTTCACTTTCTCTTTCCATTGCGGCTATTTTTGTTTAGGGCATCAGTTCAAGATGGCCCCCTCCACTCGTTTCGCAGCCGCGATATCCGCTCTTTCCGCACTTGCTTTTGCTCAGTCCTATGATGCGCCGGTATGCGCAGGCACCACCACCGTCTACACAACTGTTACCGTCCCGTACGGCAGCAGCGGTGCTGCTCCCACTTCCGCTTCCTACACTAATCCCGACTATGCCATTCCCAACCTCGACGACTACAAGAAGCAGAACCCCCACATCGACTTCCCCACGTACTCGGACAAGAACCCGAACCCCAACGGGCCGTACTACAACCCGAACGACTACCAGCCCCCTCTGGCTGTCTGGCCCGGCAAGCCCACTTCACCCGCCCAGAAGCCGGCACCCCGCCCCTCGGCTCCCTACACCTATGGCGGCCCCTCCAGCTCTGGGTACATCGCTCCGGCCTGGATTCCCAAGAACGGCGGGTACTCCCTGAAGCCGGCCCTGGACCAGAAGCTTACCAACGGTAACTCCTACTGGGGTACGCTGCAGTGCCCGGTCCTCGGCAACACGGCCGACGAACACCCGCCGCTGCCTCCTCGCGGCGGCTCGGGCTCCGCTTCCTACGGCTCTGGCTCGGCCTCAAGCGGTGGCTTCAAGCCCAGCAGCGGTGCCGGCTTCAGCGTCAGCGGCTTCAAGCCGAGCGGCACCAAGGGCCCGTCGGGCTTCAGCACCCAGGTCATCCCCAGCCGGACGGCGTCCTCGTTCCCCACCATCACTCTGCCCTCGACCAGCGGCAACAACAGCAGCACGAACGGCACTTCCTCGGCTTGCGGCCCGATTCCCGACACCGGCGCCACGCGGACGTACAACTTCCACGTCTCGAAGGAGACGGTTGCTCCCGATGGTGTGGTTAAGAACGGGCTTGTGGTCAATGGCCAGTTCCCCGGCCCGCTGATCGAGGCGAACTGGGGCGACTGGATCGAGGTCATTGTCACCAACGACATGTCCGATGAGGGTACCTCGCTTCACTGGCATGGTCTCCTTCAGAAGGACACGCCTTGGTTCGATGGTGTCCCGTCTGTCTCCCAGTGCCCGATTGCGCCGGGTGACACGCTCGTCTACAAGTTCCGCGCCGACGTCTTCGGTTCTTCGTGGTACCACTCGCATTACAGCGCGCAGTACGCTGGCGGTGCTCTGGGCCCGATTGTCATCCACGGACCCAAGACTCAGGACTACGACGTCGATCTCGGCCCAGTCATGGTTTCGGATTGGTATCACGATGATTACTTCACGCTGGTCAACCGCACCATGAACGGCATCATTTCCTTCTCGAACAACATCCTGATCAACGGCAAGATGAACTACCCGTGCCAGAACACCACCTTCGCCTGCACGCCCAACGCCGGTGTCTCCAAATTCTCCTTCACGTCCGGCAAGAAGCACCTCCTGCGCATCATCAACACCTCCGCCGAGGCCATGATCAAGTTCAGCATTGACGGCCACACCATGAAGGTCGTCGCCAACGACTTCGTCCCCATCCAGCCGTATGACACCAACGTCGTCACCGTCGGCGTCGGCCAGCGCTCTGACGTCATCGTTGAGGCCACCGGTGCGTCCACCGACCTCGTCTGGATGCGTGCCGATGCCACCGGATGCGCTTTCACTGATGGCGTCTCACCCCAGGGTGTCGCGGGCGTGTACTACGAGTCCGCGAATGAGGACGATGTCCCCTCCAGCACGTCGAGCGTCGCTGCCTCCGCCCTCACCGACTGCGGCAACGACCCGCTGTCGCAGACGCAGCCGTTCTGCCCGCAGACCGCGCTTGACAGCAACCCCACGGTGCAGAACATCGACATCACGTTCGGCAACAACGGGACCAATTTCGTGTGGTTCATGAACAACCAGTCCTTCCACGGCGATTACAACGCGCCGGTGCTGCAGCAGGCGAACGAGGGCAACCTGACCTTCCCTGCTGAGTGGTACGTTCCTTCCCTCCCCAACCCCTGACAGAAAAAAAAGTCCGCTAACATAAGCAGGAACGTGTTCAACTTCGCCTCCGCGGGCTCCGTGCGCCTAATCCTCAAGTCC